ATTCCCATATTTGACGTGACCAACAGTTTGTTCCTTATCCAGGTCGGATAATTGCTTTTCTTCTCAATTTCTGTTTAAAAACAACAACTAGATAGAATAGGGACACTGTTCATCCCAGCTGTGGCAGATCATGTCAGAAACATCGGGCAATGACTTTGTTTGCTAACAAAAAGGGAGTAGTTATTCCCTACTGAAAATAGTTTGCATCGGTTATCTAAACAAGTTGCGAATTCAAAAGACACATTATTTAAACAGCTGTCAGAATGGCTCTGTTTTCAAATGGCCAGGATCAATAAACTTCTACCAGCGTCTTTGTCATATACGAAATTGAATCCAAACTCGCATCAGGTCTATAAGGATTTATCTCCCATAGAAACATTTGGGTAATTTGCAAGTAACTATTGAACATAGGTTTATGTACTCTGGATATAATGACTGGAAATTGACGAAATGCTTGTTTGTTCTTTGTGAATATTTTATAAATCGTATGTATTATTTAACAAGATCTTTTCTGTTGTAATATATTTTAGCCGTCGGACACATTTTCGTAGAAAGTTTCTCACACGTAAATAATATTTTATTCCTTCTATACTCTTTTCAGTAATTAAGGTGTATTTCTTGGCTGGTTCTATGTTGAACTATATTATTACCAGTTGATTTTATTTCTGGATTATATATTTTTTTTTTAACTTTGCTGATATAATGGAATATTTATTTTTAAATTTTAGACTGAATTCATAGCAGTGAAACATATTGGTTGCTTTATTAAAATCCATATAAGCAAAATATATTTAGAGTAGCTTAACTGATTTAAAACCTAAATCATATATATATATATATATATATATATATATATATATATATATATATATATATAATAATCGACTCTCCCGTGGCGTTCGACGTATGAGGGTCAGGCCGATAAGTCCCCAGGAAACCGACATCCCGACACCGGCACATCAGATTTGTTTATAGTGGTGAAGGCCTCGTGCAGGACCAGCCACACTTTTTGGAGGGACGAATACAGAAACCTGGTGCACCGAATGCATGCCACAAGGTTTAAACGACCCTCCACAGGTTTTGAATTCAGAGTTGTCCTTCTCCTAGAACAGTTGCCATCCAAGGCTATAGAACCCAGTCTGTCCTGCTATTTTACCCATAGCCATATATATATATATATATATATATATATATATATATATCTTATATATATATATATATATATATATATATATATATATATATATATATATATATATATGTATGTATGTATATATATAAGATTTAGGTTTTAAGCTTTAAGAAATAGCAGATATGTTTATATATGGTACTAAATATTAAAAAGATTAAAATAATATTAAAACTGTAATGTTAATAATATAATATAATGTAATATGATATAATGATTATATAGAAAGAATACTGAACTTTTAAATATCAATATTATCCTGCCTTCATGTGTTTTAGTTTTAAACAGTATTTTTCCCTTTAAAATCACAACCCGTAAAGACTGTAATATTTAGCAAGAAACATCAATGTCGGGATAAAATTGATATCTAAAACTTAAGTATTCTGTTCATATAATATAATATTACACACACACGCACACACAAACACACACACATATATATCTATGTGTGTGCGTGTGTGTGCGTGTGTGTATATATATATATATATATGCGTGTGTGTGTGAGCGTGTGTGTGTGTGTGCTTGCAAAAAAATTCAGTTATAATATATGTAAAATTATAAAATATAAAGACAAAACGAAAATTATTATTTCCTAATTCGTTCGTTATGTAATGGTTTTATCAAGGCAAATATAAAGATTTTATTTTGCAACAGAAATAAAAAAAAATATCTTTATGCAATCAAATTTAAGGCGACTCAGATTCAGGGAAAGTTAAGTTCAATTTTAAAGGATGATAAGTGATATAATTTAATGCCTAATAAATGAAAGTAAGTCCGTTTGAACATTTTTGTTGAATATATTTTCTAATTTGTTTATAGCTATTTATCTGGATTTTTTGTTCATGTAATTATAATTATTTATTTAAATTAGGTATAATAGTTATGTATTTATTTATTTTTAATAGTAGAATTTTGGGATACAGTCGACTTTTTAATATCTTAAAATTGTTATGGTCATGTACTTTGTCTTGTTAAGGGAGTATATCTTTTAGGGAAGGAGATATAAAATAAAACCCGGGGCGCAGATTTGCATTGTGGCAAGATTAGAATCATGTGCATATGCAAATCTTGGCCTAAGATGCAGATTGTAATATTAATATTAAAGCTATTAGCAAAGCTCATCTTTCTGTATAGATTTAGCAATTTAAGTTTCCGTATTTCTGTTACAAATGTTTTGTAATGTTTAGTCCTGACATATTAAACTCCTGCAAATGCTTTCACTACATATCTTATAAAAAAAAATTTCTTCGCGTAAATCTATATCAAGAATATTAACATATCTAATATTTACCTTGAAATCCCTAATAGCAATAATTGATTGAAAAATATCATTAGAAATGAAGGAAGGATTGCTGGATAATTTCGGTATATGAGAAATAAGTTAAACTTTAAATGTAGTTTTAATGATGAATTTTGTGAAGGTCATTCATAAAGCATTTTGTAAATGAAAAGCTTTTAAGTAGAAATACAATCACAAAGAAACAGTTGATATAACGAGGAAATAATGATTAAAAAGATGCATGGCACACTTTAGTTTAAATAAAAGCAGTGAAAATAGAGAATAATTCTTTTCACGTATATGTACAAATAAATGAAGAACCAGTTACCAGAAAGAGAAACTTGTGTCATAATGTAGTAATTACTGCAAAGACAAGCAAAAAGACGAGAAGCTGTTGAGATTTATAATAAAGCGTGCCCTGAAGGAAGAGAGCACTTAGAAGAAATAGAACATTGTATGATAAATATTACTTCAATACCTGCAGGTGAAATTTTAGGATAAGTATATATTTGACAAAGTGAATCAATAAGTCAGCAGCTAGGTATGTAGTCATCATTAACCGAAGCGATATGCCTGTTTAATATTCACCTTAGAATTAAGCGCATTGTCATGTTAAGGGATAATATTTAGAAATTAATATTCTGTTCTGTAAAGTAAATGCTCTTAGGCATGTACATTTAAAACTATACCGATTTTCCTTTCTTTGAATTTATAGAGAAAGAGCAAACGTGAAAGAATTTAGACACTTTTTTATGTAATTCTCGATATAAAGGGTGTTTCATTAAGACGGATTATATATAATACAAGTCAACTGTTTGATGATGCATGGAATATTGCTGACATGTATGGACGAGTGCTTCTTCTGTGTATCTAGAGATTAGTGAAAATATTCAAAGAAACGCTCATGTAATTTGCCTTGAAATCGCATCTCTGTTTCCGTTACTTTTACACTGATTTAACCTAGATTCCTTGTCTCTTTTCTATAAGTATTTTCTCGATAATTCTTCTGATGAGGTTTCCTGTGTGGTAACTCGACTTCACGAATTTAAGCGCAGTACTAGCTTATCAGCTAGGACTCATAATCGTAAAATGAAATTGCAATATGTAACCATAATTACTATGCTGTTTCTCACTTCGTATTACCCGCTTGTGGAACTCTTCCGCTTTTATGTTTTCCAGCAAACTTTGATCTTACGCATTGTCGATCGTTATCATCTATCTCCTGTAATGCTAACCAATAATTGGCTTTTGTCCTTGCTAATGATTTTTCTAATATTCACGCAATCTCAGTTACATTTTGCGCCTTAGTGGCTTGATCACCTTGCTTGGAGTAAAATTATATAAAAAAGAAATTTGTAAGCATTTATTTACATATATGACTACAGCAGAATGACTCCAGCTAATAATCAGAATAATATATAGATTACGCAAAAAAGATTTTTATGAGCATTTGATAAAGTACGATACAGAAATGCAATTGAAACATTAGAAAACGGTGTTCTATTTACGAAGGATGATAGAATAATGTATGCCGATAGAAGGTGAATTGATTAGGTACACAAATATATAAAAAAAAGAATGCGTTTCTCTCAAGGGATTTTTTCGAATTTCCTGGTGGTGTAATACGAAAAATATTAGATATGCAGATGAAACTGTGTAGAACGCAAGCACAGAAGTGAAAAGCATAGAGCGATACCACGCCGACAAGTAAAGGAAAGCATGCATGAAGGAGAGCTACAAGACCGAGTAGTAAAGGAAAGTGAAAATGAAAGCGAGATACAAGGCTGAGTAATAAAGGAAAGCGAGAATGAAGGAGAAATACAAGGCCGAGTAGTAAAGGGAAGTGAAAATGAAAGAGAGATACAAGGCTGAGTAATAAAGGAAAGCGAGAATGAAGGAGAAATACAAGGCCGAGTGGTAAAGGGAAGTGAATATGAAAGAGAGATACAAGGCTGAGTAATAAAGGAAAGCGAGAATGAAGGAGAAATACAAGGCCGAGTGGTAAAGGGAAGTGAATATGATGCAGAGATGCAAGGCCAAGTAGTAAAGGAAAGTGTAAACGAAAGACAGATTCAAGTAAAGTGAAAATGAAAAAGAGATACAAGGCCGAGTTATAATGGGAAGTGAAAATGAAGGAGAGATATAAGGCCGAGTATCAAAGGAAAGTGAAAATGAGGGAGAGATTCAAATCCGAGTATGAAAGGATAGTGAAAATGAAAGAGTGATAAAAGGCCGAGTAGTAAAGGAAAGTCAAAAAAAAAAAAAAAAAAAAAAGGAGAGATACAAGGCCAAATATAAAGGAAAGTGAAAATGAAGGAGAGATTCAAGGCCGAGTATCAAAGTAAGGTGAAAATGAAAGAGAGATACAAGCCCGAGTAGTAGAGGAAAGGGTAAATGAAGAGAGACACAAGTCCAAATAATAAAGGAAAGTAAAATTGAAGGAGACATACAAAGCCGAGTTGTAAAAGGAAGTGGAAATGATGCAGAGATCCAAGGCCAAGTAGTAAAGGAAAGTGAAAATGAAAGAGAGATTCAAGGCAGAGTATCAAAGGAAAGTGAAAATGAAAGAGAGATGCAAGGCCGAGTATCAAATGAAAGTGAAAATGAAAGAGAGATGCAAGGCAGAGTATCAAATGAAAGTGAAAATGAAAGAGAGATGCAAGGCAGAGTATAAAATGAAAGTGAAAATGAAAGAGAGATGCAAGGCAGATTATCAAATGAAAGTGAAAATGAAAGAGAGATGCAAGTCACAGTATCAAATGAAAGTGAAAATGAAAGAGAGATGAAAGGCCGAGTATCAAATGATAGTGAAAATGGAAGAGAGATACTAGGTCGAGTAATAAAGGAAAGTCAAAACAAAGGAGAGATACAAGGAAGGGTATTAAATGAAAGTGAAAATAAAGGAGAGATGCAAGGCCGAGTAGTAAAGTGAAGTGAAATTGAAGTTAGTTACAAGGGCGAGTAGTAAAGGAATGTGAAAATGATGGAGAGATAGAAAAACGAGTAGTAAAAGAAAGAGAGATTGAACGAGATACAAGGCCGAGTATTAAGGGAAGTGAAAATGATGGAGAGATACAAGGCTGTCTATTAAATGACTGGGAAAATGAAAGAGAGATACAAGGCCGAGTAGTAAATGATAGCGAGATTGTAGAGAGACACAAGGCCGCCTTGTAAAGGAAAGTGAAAATAAAAGAGAGATAAAGGCTGAGTAGTAAAGGAAAGTGAAAACGAATAAGGCAGAGTAGTAAAAGAAAGTGAAAATGAAGGAGAGATACTAGGCCGAGTAGTAAAGGAATGTGAAAATGAAGGGGAGATACAAGAACGAGTAGTAAAGTGAAGTGAAATTGAAGATAGTTACAAGGCCGGGTAGTAATGAAAAGGGAAAATGCAGAAGAAAAACAAGGCCAATACTAAAGTGAAGCGAGAATGTAGAGCGATACAAGGCCTTGTATTAAAGGAAAGTTAATATGATGGAGAGAAACAAGGCCGAGTAGTAAAGGAAAGCGAATATGAACGAGATACAAGGCCGCGTAGTATAGCGAAGTGAAAATGATGGAGAGATAAAAGGCCGAGTATGAAAGGACTGGGAAAATGAAGGAGAGATACAAGGACCAGTAGTAAATGCAAGTGAAAATGAAGAGAGATACAAGTCCAAATATAAAGGAAAGCTTGAATGAAGGAGAGATACAAGGCCGAGTAGTAAAGGAAAGTGAAAATGATGGAGAGATACATGGCCGAGTAGAAAAAGAAAATGAAATAAAGCAGAGATACAAGAACGAGTAGTAAAGGAAAACGAGAATGAACGAGATACAAGGCCGAGTAGTAAAGTGAAGTGAAAATGATGGAGAGATACAAGAACGACTAGTAAAGTAAAGTGAAATTAAAGGAGAGATACAAGAACGAGTACTAAAGGAAAGCAGGAATGAACGATAAAGAATGCCGGGTAGTAAAGTGAAGTGAAAATGATGGAGAGATACAAGGCCGTGTAGTAAAGGAAAGTGAAAATAAAGCAGAGATACATGGCCGAGTAGTAAATGAAAGTGAAAATGAAGGAAATATACAAGAACGAGTAGTAAAGGAAAGCGAGAATGAACGAGATACAAGGCCGCGTAGTATAGGGAAGTGAAAATGATGGAGAGATACAAGGTTGAGTAGTAAAGGAAAGTGAAAATGAAGGAGAGAAATAATGCCGAGTAGTAATGGAAAGTGAAAATGTAGAAGTAATACAAGGCCGAGTATTAAAGGAAAGTGAAAATGAATGATGGATACTAGGCCGAGTAGTAAAGGAAAGCGAGAACACAACTCGACGATGAGATGACACAATATATGATTGTCAACAAAAGAAATAGCCTGTGATCCGAAATACAATTTAGAGATGGCAATATTAATCAAGTGAGTGCATTGTTTTAAAATAAGTAGGAAACTGTGAATCACAATAAGACAGGCATATTATATATATGGAAAAGGAAAATTACGAACACATACATATATGTCTGTGTGTGTGTCTATGTGTGTGCCTCTGTCTGTGTGTTATTGTATGTCTGTGCCTGTTTTTATTTGTGACGGCTGTTGCTCTTGAAAAGGACCCCCAATCAATGGTTAATTGGAGCCGGAAATGGCTTGTAAATTTTAACGTCTACAAGACGTAACTGCTTTCATTTAACCAACACAGAGAAGCTTTTCTGCTTGCCATCAACATGGCTGACGCTAGACTCCTGAAAAGCATCACACTGCCTCTTCTTGCCCTCACGTGTTCCACTGAATTGAAGTGGAGCGACTACCTCGAATCAGTAATTGCATTTAGTGCAAGGAAATTTAGGTCATTATGTCGTACCAGAATATTTTTCTCGTAGAAATCTATTTTACACATTTACAAATCTATCATTTGCTGTTGCATTGAATACAGCTGTGATATCTGGTTTAATGTTCATTTTATTCACCTCCTAAATAAATGAACCTGCAATTTGTGTGTGTGTACGAGTGGGGCGGATAATCACAGAGGAAATGCGAAATTATTCAAAGATCGGCAAAATTCAATTAGGAAACGAGTTTTGTGTCAACAACATCTCTTTTTACTTGTTACCTTCAAGCAAATGAAATCACACGAATACAAATTCCAATTCAACTCAGTGCACTATGCTGCTTATATCAAGTGCATTGCTAAGCGTGACAAACACCTAAGACAAGCATGTGTGACCAACTGAAATGGATAAAGGATCTGAATAATAACTTCTACAATGGCGAATGTACAACTTATACAGCTCTGAATCTTCATATCGGAATAACGAATTCCATATTGTTGGATATAATAAGTGACTGAACGACGAGCTTTTGGGATCAGAACACATAACAGTAAAGAAAGGATAATAAATCAAATGATTCTGTTACTCGAACTAAAGAACTAAACTGAAAATAGAAAGAACAAACAGAAATATAAAAAAAGAAAAAGGAGAAAAGAGTAAAGAGAAAACACTTTTATTTCAGAAGAAAAGAAGCTAAGTGATTGTTTCAAAATTTAATCTCAAAATATAACGCATATAGCCTTCCAAACAGAGGACTATAACATATATTCTTCCACGCATCCTCTTGCATTAAGGTTTTCGTGCATTGTCTAGTTAATTAAATCCTGTTACTTTGTATCTTGGCGTTTGTTGTTCGGTACATCTGGTTGTCGCTGCTCTTTCGTGTGTTTGACCCTGTAAAGAATTTGATGTCTTCGAGAAAGTAAGTCGTTCTTTCACCGTTTTTTTATATTTTGTTATGCAGCAACTGTCCATAACAATAAGGATTAAGATATTTATTTTTAATCCGATATTCCTATTAGTTAAAATGTTAGTATGATGGATACACCTTATTTGAAATAGACGTCTTATTTCTAGTTATTTAACAGTGTATTAGCCTGCTAAATCGAGAAATGTAAGTAAATAATAGGTAGCCTTCTTTGAGGAACCAAACTGCGTCACACTTTTTACGTAAAGTAAGCCTGATGAAAAGGTAGAATCTCCACCCCGAACACACACACACACACACACATATATATATATATATATATATATGAAGAAAAATTTTAAAGATACATTTCCGTTATAATTTATTTTGTGAATATTTTTATATGCAACTCTCCAGACTAAAAGTCCGTAATGTTCCGTAATGTAAATTTACATAGATCTCTCTTTGGATTAAAATTCATTTTTGGAAATATCCCTATCAATCACAAATTTGTCCTATATGACTCATATCGAGAATATTTAACATCGAACAACATAAGAAAAAAATAAATTATTTTTAATAATACGTGGAAATCTACACACTTTACATAATGAAAGTCGCGAGACCGGAATCAAGTATAGCAAAATTATGGGATAATATTTTTTAAAAATATCCACCTTACAACCAAAAACGTTTGCGGTTTCTTTCTTATTCTTAATATACACACTTTTCTCTCGTTGTAATGACTATAACCTCTTCCCATTGTATATTTACTTATATATATATATATATATATATATATATATATATATATATATATATATATATGAAAATAAACCGGTGGCCTGACGATTGCGTCTAGCATGAAACAGGTTCTCGCCCCTAAATGTTGTCTTCATTGTTCGCTTTTATATTTACACAAGCTCTATCGCTGATATTGAGCACTTTATCCCATAGAGCACAGCTCAAGACTATATTTCTTGATATACGCACACACACACTCTTTCTCTCCTCCCCCACACAAACACACACACACACACACACACACACACACACACACACACACACACACACATATATATATATATATATATATATATATATATATATATATATATATTTACTAATAATAGAACTGTGTCGACTGAGGGAATAGCATCACCTGGTGATTGTTTCATAATCATAAAAGGCAAGAACGGCCAGTTTCCATTTTCATTTTATTTTACATTCTTTATAATTACAAAATTTTCGGTTCCCAACACAGAAAACATTCATTTCATAAATATAGAACATTTAAATCTATTTACACATTTATTTATCTTTTAAATCACTATGGCACACAGGTCCATATGTAAAACGCACTCTCATATATATGGTAGTAGGTGTATGTGAGAGGAAATGATAGGGTTAAAAGGTTTTCGCTTATATATTTTGCACTTGGCTTAATTTTCCGTGTGACCGTGTGAGTGCTTTAAGTTTAATCGAAATGAATGTTTCGAAGCAATTCGTCTAATAGTCGCCTGCAGGGATGCCCACTCTTACCCCCATACATTCTGTCTCATGAAATATTGAAATTCAACACATACAATCACTTATTTCCCATAAAGCATATTTCATCTTAAATCATTTTCTTTCATTTCCCCTACTATTCTCTTTTTCTTTTTCCATTTTATCTTTTCTCTATAATATTATTGCACATTTCCTATGCAAATTATACATATTTAATCCTTAATCAGATTAACTTCGATCGAGGCAACCAATCTTCAGGGATAAATGGAACACGACTGTATTCTCAAAATTAATTCGATGACACATGTGTATCTAAGTTATATATCATATATCTCTCTCTTTTTCAGAACCTGGTACAGGATATAGTTTTGAAAAATAGTCTATGATCCACCTATTTGAAAAGAAAGCAATTATTTACTTCGGTCAGGACTAATATACCCCGGAAGACATGGGACACGGCTGCATTCTTCGTAATAAATTCGATGGAACTTTCGGAAAATTACTTATCATATGCCACTCTTTACAATATGGTATTGCAGAATATTTATGAAATAGTTTATAATCCACATATTTGAAAAGAAACATATTTCTGCAATCGCATCTTGAAAAAAATTATCTCATTATTTAAATTAAAATTAATAAACTACCACTATCCCCACCAAAAAAAAAAAGAAGATAAAATTACATGAGCAAAAATCGTAGACATTGTCATTATGGAAATAATTGTTTGTCGTTAAAACAAGGCCATATAAATTCTAAAGTATACCCCAAATTGTAGTCTACATGATGTAGAATTTGTATGTTAGAGACTATCAGAATATATTACAATAACAACACTGTATTTACAGTATTTATATAATTCGGAATATCCTCCTCATCTTTGTTCCCCTATTCTCGACGTTTCTGTCTATGTACGCTTCGGCCTTCTTCAGGTGATTGTAATTTCGAAGCGAATCCTTTATTTCGTCCACTGGCGTGGATTTTTCTAATTGAGTGGATATAGACGTTGGATAGATCCAAGAGTTGTGAATTCAATAGCAGGCCTCAGCAGCTTTCAACCAAACACTTGGCGAGTTGAGTTAAAGGGAAATAGCTGAGATATCCGGAGGAGGCATGGCATGTGGAACTAAAGAAATCGACCATGGTGGACAAAATAATGGGTTAGGTTCGAAATTCCAATCAACTGAAGAATGCCGGAGCGTACAACGTTCGGAATGCTATGAATATGTCAATGATGATGTGGATAACAATCCAAATAATGTAAATAATCATAATACCTCATTTCAGAGATATAGACAAACAACGCCGTATTAAATAATTAAAACAGTTTGCAGAAACATGCATTCGAAACGGTTAAAAAGCAAGATATCCCATTTCTCATATATTTAATCATATATAAAATCAGAAAATTAATAGTATGCGTTAATTTAAGTCAGAATTTTGTATATTTTCAAAAAGTATAAATTATCAAATCAATTTGAACAACTTTGAATTGTTGAGAGGAACTTGATGGCCATATTGACTAACAGGTGAAACTTCGGAGTTTTCAGACAAAAACTACTTCGGAATTACCCTGCTCAGGATTCTTCATTATGTAAGGTGTCGATTAAATTAATTTCCGCGTTGAGATCTCTGTATCCGGTAAGCGCCGTATTTCTATTTTGCCTGACGTTATACATTGATTTTATGGGTGTAAAGAATTGAATGGATATTCCCTGCAATCAGATATTTAGAAATCATTTATAGAAAGCCACTTTAACCTTCAACTAAAACTTCGATAAAAGAGAAAAGCCTTGTACCGTACGGAAATGAATCAAAACATCCTGCCATATACAGACAGTATAAACTTGCAAACATTTTCGATAGTTTTAATCGATATTCAGTAACAAACTGCTAGTCAAGACGACATAGATTTATTATTAGTGTTTTAAATGAATGACGTTTATCTCAAGCCAAACTACTGAAATTAAAAGGAGTAGTGCAATTTCCTTTCATCACAGCAATGGCATCAACATCTTTATTACAAGTACCAAAAACAGCAGTAGTAGCATAATTATTAATACTAATGTTGACAGGTGTATTTCTGAAATGTAATATCAATATTTACTTTATTATTCGGAGAGCAGTCTTCATGTTTCTTGTTATTAACAAAGGGCTTCGCCTGATAGATTTTGGTGTCTTTCAGAATGCTGTATACGCCGTACACCTAAGCAACTATTGCCTACATAAGCAGACATGACAGGTTATTATCATTAATTTACAGCTTTCTAGAGAATATATATATATCAACTCCAAATATATTTTATCAATATAGAAAATAGGATGTATTATTCATGGCAAACACATATAAATATGATTATTGAATAGACATACCGAAATTATCTGATTCACGTTTTATTTTATTTATGTTCGATATATCATGATAAAGGAATGATTTCTTAATAATATAAGCAACGGAGAATCCGTATCATTCGCAAGAAATTATTAAAAAAAAAAATGCAATAATTCTAATGTTTTTGAGGACGCTGATATGTTCTTTGCATTTTATGAAATATTAAATTTTACATTTTCAGAAGATATATTTTCTTATTGACTAATTATATTTTTCAGGTTTACTAGCGTTGTTTATTTGTGTTTTGAGTACAGGCAGTATGGCAACATTAACCGTTTCCCTACAAGGAAACATTTACCATTCATTGACCGAGCAACCAGTACTGCTTAATGCTGAAGTTTATAAATCTTCCTCTTAAAAGAATTTTTTTTTTTTTCAGGAAAATAGATGTTTCAAATCCAGTAGTTCATATTTTTTCTTTACAGTATTTATGGGGTTTCCGTACAAACATTTTACTTTAAGTAATGTAAAAAAAAATTTGAAAGAATCAGGTAATTCAGATTCTGAATATTGTTTAATACCAATTATTTTTTCTATATTGTGAGGGTTGTGAGTTAAATTGTTATGACTAAGTCATATAAGAAATTGACATTATTTGCACTATTTACATTTTTCGGATTGTTGCCCTCATCTCTGTTGTCACATTCTGGACATTTCGGTCGTTGTACGGTTCGGCCTTCTTCAGGTCTTTGGAATTTCGAACGGAGCGCTTTATTTCGTTCATCGTGTTAAATTGTTCTAGTTCCTCGTGCCATACCTCGCCCAGGTGTCTCAGTACCTGTTATCACTCTTTAACTTAACTTTTCAAGTTTTTTGTTCACCTCATCCTGGCATTGAACTCACAACACTTTGGGTCAAGTCAGTGGATTCAACCAACGCCGTTATCCACTAGGTTGTGTCTTCTTCAGGACGCAACGGCTGAAACGTCGTCAACCAAAATGAGGACAGCAGTCGGAACAACGTAAATAGTGTAAATAATTAGAATACTTTTTCTTAGAAATATAGACAGATTAGAATTTGACAGAATTGAAAGGTCATGTCCTGGAATTCAGTGACTAGCCCAGCATGAGAAAATGGTGGTAAGAATACTTCGTGGACGTAGAATTATAATAGTTATTGAAAAAGGGAGATAAGTCAATGAGACTCTTTGAGAATTTGAAGAGTCGATTTCCGTACCTGGATTCTTCAGTGAAGGATTCATCACTTTACGAGGAAATCAACTTTCTCTGTCGATGCCTCCTAGAAACGTTTCTACAACCAATGCAACTTAGATAATAGTAAGATAACAAAAAGAAAAGTTTCCGTTATCGATGCTGCCGATGATATAACGTCGGTGTAACAAGGTAACTTGTTTGTTAGGGTGGTGATTTTTATCTGTCTGGTTTTTGGTGTTAGCGAATGGAACAGAAACATTTATAAGTTTGAATCGTCTAGTTAAGTCAAATAATTCCTGGAAATTTGATTGCAAAAACGTCTCTTTTCCAAAGACTTGCATATTTTGACAGGTGACTACATTTGTTTTATCTATATTCTCGTAAAGTTTTATCAGACGAATATGTAAGTTTGCTTTTTTGAATGTAAATGTCCTTTAACTTTGGGGATATTTAAAGTCTGGATGAGTCAAAAACAAACCAGAGAAAGTGACCACATTTGACCCCACTTGTCATCAAAGGAGGATGAGAAAAACCGTGGGGAGATGGCTCCGTAAATATATAGCATTCTGGCAAACAGCAGAGGGAGGCAACGGAGACACACCCAGGAGTCAGCCAGGAGTCAGCCAGGAGCCTTGACAGAAACGTCACATAAGAAATTTGCTGATCAACAGACGCGCATTTCACACCCGCCTGAAATTAACTCGATATTCGATTTTCTGTTAAAGGTTTGAGAATAAACACTTCGGCTGCAAGCTACCCCATCCGGAGGCGTTAAGCTATATCAATCTTTTCTAAATATTATATTTTCATTTAATATTATTAAAACCATAATTTTTAACTAAGACCAGACCTTCTCATTCTACATCCACTCGTCAAAGAAAATATCACAGCTTAATGAATCAAGAAGAATGGCAACCCCATTTTGTTCTTGTCAGTAAGAAGCACAACATTACCAGAAACTCTAGACGGTCGACGATATATCACCAAGTACTTGGACAATTTAAAACTGCATAAAACCAACCTGACCCCACAGTCATCCCAAAGTGTAGGTCCCTACGAGAAATAGGGACCGAATTGTATGACGAGCAGAACATATGCACAAATCGATTCAAGAAAATCTCACGCATAGACGTTGTTGAATTTATGTTCTATCAGCTCGGCCGTAGGCATGGTGGAAACATCTTTCGAAAGTGTCTGACAGATAGCTTCTTTGTTGCAATGGTTGTCTGACGAAATGACCTCTATTGTATCCCACACACCAGTCTTTTTGGCCAGGGCAGATATCCGTGTCCATGTTTCGTTGTTCTGCAAGATTTCAGGTTCTTTTTCTGGGGAAGAGTTCAAGCTGCGAGAGTGTGTAAGCAGAGATGAAGAGTCTTGTTTGTTCTTGGGGAAAAGAGGAGGTAACATTATATTAGTGTCTGATGCACTGAAACCCTAAACGACACGGAATGCAACACACATCTATCTGCGTTTCTACACTAAAAAAGGGCATAGGCTTAAATTCTATCCTTGTGTGATGATTTATGGTTGCATTCTGTATGTTTTTGCTGGGAAAATTGTATTTCGTCTTCAATCCCACAAATGTGACTTAGCTTGATTTAAGTATATCCCACGCCTTGTGCATTAGGTTAACAGTATGAAAAAAACTAGCGTGTTTTTTTATCTTCACCAACATACAAATGTGTCCAATTTAATTTCTGAGGAATAATGGATAAACAATTATTCCTACTTGCTGTTTTGTTAGGATCCTTCAAGATTTCGTTGGTGTTGCAAAAGAAGTATGTACTGTTCCAAATATATGAAATATGAAGAGGTTGGGAGCCGTGATTTTGCCTTCTGCCAAACTTGTTTTATTTTACTATTTTATCCTAACGTTTAGAATTTCTTTGATACCTATGCCTTGAGACATATTTGTTCTGGCGTAATGGTAATGGCAATAGAAATATTAGCCGTTTCCTTATTAGGAAACTTTCGGTAAATATTGATGAGTGGTTAAGGCTGCGATCGGTTTGAATTTATCAAATTTCTCTCTCAAAATAATTTTTCAGGAAAATAGATCCCATGAATCCAATAGTTCTTATCATTCTTCAAGTATTGATGGAGACTTTCTTCAAAAACTTTTGGTTGCATTAGTGTAGAACGCAATGATTATGATTTTGTCATTGTTTTCTATTCGAGTTGCATGTGATAACCATTATAGGTGCTGTTGTGGTGCTGCTGAAAGTCCACAAGCCATGTGGTGTATGTATTTTTGTACAGTTCTGTATTTGTAGTAGAACAGCGCTGATTTACAATGTTGGAAGAAGTATAGCCTTCGACAAGATTCACTCGCTTCATCCCCTCAAAGACATATTCCCCTACTGATCTGAGAAAAACGGTTGTATACAACTGTTTTCTTATTTCTGAATAGATTTGGCGCCATGAATGACATGCGTAGGGTGTTAAATAAATAAGCCATTCGTTTGTGTCTCGTCTGGTGATAATGCTGTCATAGGCAGACGCATATTAAATCAAGCTTTTGCTATGTGGGAAGTCTAATAATTCACTTATATTGATTTGAGACGAGAAATATATTCGATAATGGGCTGATCCTGGGCGTTGAAAATTGGAACTATAAAGTAACACCTTCCCATTGCAATAAATGGAATGTTTGTCCGTCACCCCAACACATTCACGGTACTATTCACAGGAACCGGACAAGAACTGTTTCTACTCTCTGTTTTGTCATCGAAACTCGTATATAACAGGCACGAGATCAAGATATAACAACATCTTATACCACATTGCGCAAATCAATTGAAACAAAAGGAATAATTCTGTTATTATTCCATTTTCTTTCGTATTTTTCCAATGAAACTTGACCAAATGCACACGTTAGTATTTCGTATGTCCATTCCATGAAGTCGTTCCTTGCAGATTGACCACAGATTCCTGATTTAAATCAGAATAGTTTCTAAGTCAGTCGATAGAACTTTGATTTCCTCACTGGTAAGACTTGGCAGTGTCTTCGTGCAGCGTTGCAATTTTCGTACGCTTTCTTGGAGGATACTCTATCGCAGAAAATGCCCGTAATCGGCAGTCGAGACAATAGTGTCTGGGCGTGAAGAAAATCTGATGAAATCACGGAAGACGCAATATTTTTCAAGGCCTATCAAATTTCATCATACATCCCAAAAACAGATTTATATTACTGCACACCGCTTAAAATAATCTAATCCGGGGAGAAAAACAGAAATCGATTACACCCTGTCACTCCAGTGGGTTTCAAACTGACCGTATGTTGAAAGAAAGGAAACTAAAACGGTTATTTCAATTAATTTGTATAAGGGTAATTAGCGTAAGAGATGAAGGTAATTATCCATATAGTATAAGGAATGTAGAAAAATATTTTCTTAATAAATAATAAGCAGTGTCAGTAACGATTTGTATGAATTTATGATAATTATTGTTAAGTGTTTTAGAAAATTGTCTTAGAATTATTATTGTCTTTTATGATTCTTGTTTCCCCGTGTACATTAGAGCGCAAAAATTCCTCTACATAGGACGTGGTTCCGGGCGATCTACTTCAGCTTGTCCCATGTCGAGCCGACTGCCTTCACCTCGGCGTCAATACTTCTGCGCCACAATTTTCGCTTTCTTTGTGGATTCCAGCCAAGGGCCTGCCTGGTGACACTGGAAGCAGGCTTGCGGACTGTTTGATCGGTCAATCCCTATTTCCGTTTCTTGATGTCAGTCTCGATTTGGGATTGTCTGGTTCTGTTCCAGACTTCCGGCAGTCTGATATTGAGGATGTTGCTGACACATCGGTTGGTAAATGTCTGAATTTTGTAGATGTTGTTCTTGGTTCCCCGCCAGTCTTCTGACTTGAATTTGGTGATGAAGATCCTGATCTTGTTGTAAAGTGAGAGGGATTTGGTTCTCCAGATTGGCCGCAGAATGTTGAAAGCGTATCGGGTTTTGTTTATTCGATACTTGATGCCTTCATAAAGCCCCCGCCACATCTTTACTAGCGGCGCTTTCGAGGTCGACAGACTTTTCGACTTCCTTTATTACTATACAATGCCTAAATCAATGTATGAGATTTGCTACGCTTATTTCTAGTCAGGCAACTGACGTATCGTACATTAATATTTCAGTAACCACAGGAGAATAAATTAGAACACACACACACACACTCACACACACACACACACACACACACACACACACACACACACACACACACATATATATATATATATATATATATATATATATATATATATATATATATATGTCACCATAAATTATATAATGAGGGATCAAAGCGGTCTCAAGCATGACTTATGAAACGATGGTGTTTCCTATAAACGTGGGGAAGGACGTTCCAATTCTGCCACAGGTCAGATATTTTTTAATTTCTCGGGAGCTCCGACCGATAGATGGAATATACATGCAAAATGGTGCGTCTGTTTCAAACACGACTAACTTTTAAATAATATTTGCAGTAATGCAAGTAGGCGTACACACACGTGCGCGTGCAAACAGGCGCACGGGCACACACACATACACGCACACGCACACACACACACACGCATATATATATATATATATATATATATATATATATATATATATATATATATATATATATAATAGAGAGAGAGAGAGAGAGAGTGAGAAAAGACCCACGGAGAGAGAAAACAGTGTTCTACACCGAGTATACCAGGAGCAGCAAACGGTTAACAAATAAACATAAAAAAGGAACATATGAAAACAGATAAAACATTTCAAGAAGAGTAGTTTATTCTGTGGAATATGTTCTTTTGTTGCTATATTTGCTAAGAAAGAGTTTTGATCAATCCATACTACGACATTCTTAATGTTTCCAAATCAATCACTCAATACAGTATTGCTTTTATTCCTATAAAATTCCTCGGTCGATCCATTATACAATCTTCTATAGCTTTCTAGTATGTACAAAAGCAAAAAAAAACTTTATTCGCAATTAAAAGAGGATATGATATTAACGTACATCCAGCGTTGATTGTCACAATGAAAATCACACAAAGACTGAACAAGCGGTGAAATTTTACATTATATCACATTAACCAATAATGATATCTACTAAGATTAACTGAATACAGCAAAGGGAGAAATATTTGGAATTGTATAAATAAAAGACTGGTTCGTGGCGACATGCTAAATGAGATCCATGTTTCTGCACTGAAAATCAAGGCACTGACAATAGACGCAAGTTGGAATTAAATTTAACTCACTAAACAGGTGGCAATATTATTTATATTATTTACATTATTCGAACTGTTATCTTAAATGTCAAAGCACGCAATGATATATTTTTATATTATTAAACTATCTACCTACATAGGGAAGATAATATCAATGTTGATTAAAGGTGAAATTTTAACAAATATTTATTAAGGACAGTAAGCACGGAAGAGATTTTCTTCCATGTATCCCACTCACCTGATCTTTATACGTCTAAAACCTCAAGGAAGATTGAGACAAGAATTTTATGAGGATATCTTGTAATAAGAGAAATTCCATGGATGTAGACCTGTACCATTTATGAATGCATTTGCATTAAATAAACAACTGGAATGTCCAAATTAAATGCTGTCTCATTTTTGTACTTCTTTAAGAAAAAGAAACAAAAATATATTTACAATATTACGACAGTTATCCTTATCTCCATTGCAATATTCACAGCGATTCGGCCGTTGTACGCTCCGCCCTTCTTTAGTTGATTGGAATTTCGAACTGCACCCTCTATTTCGTCCACTGGGATATGATATTCTAATTCCACATGCCATGACTCTTACATATAGCTCAGTTATTTCCCTTTAACTCAGCTCTCCAAGATTTGGTCCCCAAAATTCAGGAACAGATGTCTTCATGGACACAAGGCCAAGTGGGTAACGACGTTGATTAGATCCTGTGACTAGACCCAAAGAGTTGTGAGTTCAATACCAGGCCACAGCAGTGGTGATCGAAAACTTGGAGATTTGAATTAATAAACGAAAATAACATCCGGAAAAGGCAATGAATGCAACCAACACTGAGCTTTTCAAATTATTTCAGAGATCAACGATCAATCTCTGGTCGTCTAGAATTTGGAGATGCACCCCTATACCATTGTGCCATCGGCTGTGATATCCCCGCATGATTGGTGTATACTCATAGGCAGATCATTTATGTAAAGTAGAAAGAGGATTGGTTTGACAAGAAACCCTTGTGGATCGCCTGTATTGATTTTTCGTGCCTTGGAAGACTGGCCATTAACAACTCTTATGTAGGAGAAGTGATATTCAACTCAGTATTCTTTCCTTTGTTTTTAACCATAGGTTACTCTATTTTCATAATTCGCTTCTCTTCAGGTTGCCTCTTTTCGGTGTCCGAATGCGTCG